CCAGAAAATACATACAAATTTCATTTCATGAACATTTCAGTCTCTCACCTTTTGCCATAGGTCAACCCACCTCCCACGTTGCAATATCAAGTCCATTTTCTCAGTGTAATGCGAGGACAGACACTTGGCATCACAATGCCCTTTCACACCAAAGATGCTGCACAGCCATGCCTTTTCAGGCTGTATAAAGAGGGACGAAAACCCTTCCTGGGGTTTTCGCTCATTTTAATTCGTCTCTTTGGCACCCTTCTCAATTGCCACGTTCCATGCAAGCCCCTCATTCACAAAAAGCACATACAGATCTCGGGGTTCCAAAGCACTCCATTCATCCAAGTGCAGAATGCTTGCGGTATGTTCTCATCGCCTCAGCTTTCTGTCTCAGACACTCCACGCGACATACCTGCGTCTAAGCAGCACCTTGAAGCTCATTCCAGCCAACCTGGCCAAATACTCACATACAGGAAGTCTGCATTCGGGACTATCGACAAAAGTTTCAGAGTTCCTTAATGTTTCACTTAGGGCAAAGTACACACCTCCAGCGCAAGGATCTTTGTTTACCGGTTGCCTTTCAACCCCTTCTTCGTGGTAGATCATTGTACCTGCTCCTCTATGTTGTTCGTGGTTTATTTCAATAAATACTACTTGCATACCGCTGATTTTTTTCTTTACCAAATCTCATAAAATGCTAATAATCACGACATGTTGATGAGTAGCATGAGATACGAAAATATCATGGTATTTCACAGCTATGAAATGCTTAGACCTATCTCTAATCTTGGATTTTTGAAGTTGTGCCCAAGACCAAGAGCATAATAAGGAAACCTTAGTACAATAAAGGAAAGTTGGAAGGGTAAAGGGGACACGACAAACAAGATGTGTGTGTGTGTGTGTGTGTGTGTGTACCATCTCATGTTGAGTGTAATCATTATGTATTGCAAACACGTAGTAATGAAAATAAAAACTGAAGAAAACCATCAGGTAAAAATAAAAAGAATATGTCCTATGACCTGAACATAACCCTCTTCTCTCACATAATTTGAAAATATTGACTAGACTGGTTATTCAGCATTTGTGCAAGCTTACAATTACCATGAGAAGTCACTCCCAACAATGCCGGTTAGAAAGGTTTTACTGCTGCATAATTTGTATTGAGCTGCATATGTAACAAAAGATATCATATATTTGGAGCACTTTGCAAGTGGCAAATGTGGAATAAGGTGCTTATCAAATATTATCTCACTGCATCTTCACAACACACCTGTGAAGTAATGTTATTATTATCCTCATTGTTCATGGAACTTAAATAACTCCCACAGGGTCCCTCAACTGGAGAGACAGGAACTAGAATTGAAGGCTAGGTTGCCTGACTTCAAGGCTCTCGCTCCTCCTGTTTCTCATTCTTCCTCTCATCAGTCTGCTGAGCTTGGGGCAACACAAGTGATGCTCGTAGCATAAGCATGCCCTTTTCTCCTGATGGGCTACAAATGACCGGGACCCCTGGGCACCGATGGGTCTTGCAAGGACCTTAGTATTGATGGTGGAGGTTGGCAAAAACTTAGTCGTGGGTGGGGCGTTACTACTCCTCAGTGAGGGGAACCACTCAATCCTAGAAGCTGTTCAAAAATCAGTGTGGAGTGCAGTGTCCAAGTCCAGCTCCCCTTTCATAGCCCACTATGTCTAATAAGATGGATGAAATAACATGGAATAGTTGGTAAGAAGTTCGATTTTATGTTAGATATGGAAAGAATCTAAGCCAAAGTCAAGTAAGTTGGAGGAATTCCTTTTATTTTTACATTTTATCTTGCTGAATACTGTAACCAGTATTAAAAGCTGTGGGAGTTGGAGCTTAACAAAAATGGTTATCTCAAATGGAATGTCACAGGGCACGGTGGCGTAGGCCTGCAATCCCAGCACTCCGGGAAGCTGAAATAGAAGGACAGCAAGTGTGAGCCAGCCCAGGCAACTTAGCAAGGCCTTGTCTCAAAATTTAAAAAATTTAAGAAAGGGCTGGGGGTACAACTCAGCACAAAGGTCAAGGGCTCAAATCTCAATTCAAAAAAAGATAAAGAAAAATAACTTCTTGGTACCATAAAAGGAAATAAATAGAGCTTTTAAATGGGACATGATCAATGTCATTTTACAACATTAAGGGGATTATTTTTAAGCTATTATACAGTAGTATTAGGTACATACTTACTAGGTATAGAGGATAGATTTTTGTATAATATCAGAAGAAATGCAGTTTTGTGCATTATTTTTCATATTTAGAAAATATTTATGGGGCTGAGGAAATAGCTTGGTGGTCTACGCAAGTGCCTAGCAAGTGAAAGCATCGGAGTTTGATTCCTAGTACTGCATGCAGAGCCGCCCCGGATGCCACACCAGCCCCGAAACTGGGTGTGGCCACGCACACTT